GAAAAATAATCTGAGAGGTAAATAAATTAATCACTGTGGGAGAGAATGTAACTTATTTGTTTCGGCGAGAAACGCGGATTAACGATCGACGCGCGCCCAGTACCGATCGATCAGTGTTCGCGAATCGTTTTACTTCTCAAACAAAATGACCTCGGTTCTTCTTTCATATCGATTTTCATCGATGTGTGTTTTGCGATAAAGAGAAATCACTCACCATACACTCGCCGGCGATGCAGACGTCTGTGCCGTCCGCGTAACATCTCGTGCCGTCCTCCACTTTGTCCGCCAGTTGCACCACTATCGTCTCGTCGCCGTCGAATTGCATGGCGTCGGCGGCATCGCGCGGCATCGCCTTCTCACCCGATGCTTCCTGCCGTCTCTCGGGAGTTTGCACGCCGCGGCAGATCAAAGAACACGGCCTAGCCGGGTCGTAATGGGGATACCACTTGAGCAGTTGTCCGCTGTATGGCGCATTGTTGAAGGCGGCGCATTGTGAAGAGCGAAAGTCGCTCGATTTCTCGCAAGACTGGAATTACAGAAAAGGGGGGAATCCCTGTCGTTAGGCACAGGCTCATTAAACGCTTCTAGGACGTCGTTATGTCACTATTGGCTGTTCCGAGAGAGAGAGAGAGAGAGAGAAGACCGTTATTTCGCGGCAACGAGCGCTCTATGAGCTACGATATATCGAGGCTTGGCTTTGTGATGCAACATCTCTCTCTCTCTCTCTCTTTTTCTCTCACTCTCTCTCTCTCTCTCTCTCTCTCTCTCTAAGTAATTGTAGCATAAAATGAAATTTTAAGAATTCGTTTAAACTCTCTTAAAGAAGTCTCTTAAAGTAAGCATTTAAAGTACTTTTTTTTTCAGTAAATAATAAATGTATGTAGGAGTCCCTTGATATCACCATTTAAAATTCTATGATACAACTACCTTAAAACGTATACATTTACCGAAGCGGAAAACGGCGTACGTTCGCATTCGCTGTTCGTTCGTCGATCGTTCGCTCAGTACACATCCAGCTTTCGATTCTGCCGAGTCAAGTCAGGAAACGTTTTGATACCCTCGCGGCTGATTCCTCCTCTCGGCGAGAGTTCGATGGACGAACGATCGCGCGTGGAGCTCTTCATTCTCGCGAGTATCGCGTAATTTGACACAACTGGGCCGAAAATAATCCCCGCAAAAACCTCATCGGGAAACGATGTAATTACGTTGAGCCGCTTTTCAACTTCCCTCCGTCACTTTCCGCCCCCTTCCTTCCGAACGAAGGCTTCTTTTATATTGTAATCTCCGTCCCCGTTCCGCGACGATGATTTCACCGATAGAAAAAGCATTTTGTTACACGGGGTCGCATCGAAGTCGTCGGTGCGGAGAACAAAGTTTCCAATTCCAACGGTAGCTAATTAAGGCGAAATCATATTCCATTTGTACTTTTCGAACAACTCGGCTCGAGATAGCGAGATCCCGAAGTGAAGGATCAATGGCCGAGAGCCGAGCGAGTTACCATTGCAAAGGCGCCCGCTAATTATCGTTATAATTAACGATTCTACGGTCCGGGCCGCGATATCTTCGGGGCATTTTCCATCGAACGTTTTCGCTCGCGCGAGTTTACCTCGCCTCCCGCAAAGTTAACGTACAAATGTAAGTTTCCTCAAAGTAAAACGTCTATTATTATCTCTTCCACCGTTACCCGCGTCTTATTCGTCGTCCCTTCTCCTTCTCTCTCTTTCTCTCTCTCTTTTTTTTTTTTAATAGTTCATCGGGGGAAGGCGAAATTTCGAAATGCGATTCCACATAAATTCCACAATTGCGATACGAATGCACAATAAACGTAAAATATCATTTTACACATTGATAATCATTTTATTATTATGTTGCACGAAATTATTACACGCATAATAATAGTAACGATGTTCATCATCAACATCATCGTTATCGTTATTATCGTTGTGCCTTCATATAACATGACACTCTATTGATAGTCGGGTTATGTTACGCAATGTTACTGCGCGATGAGAAAATGGCTGTTACCGCGCTGGAACAAACCGCGCCGATTTGCGACAGACCGTCCGTCACCTCACGTTGCGGAGCGGATTAAAAAAACCTTTTTTGAAACGCGCACACGAAATGTCACCTCTCATGTATGCGAGATACTATTAGGGGTGCCCATAAGTAATGTCGTGTTTTTTTGCAGATTGAATAAACATCGCCACCTCGTTGGTGGACGTGACTTATTATTGCATAACCTATATACCAATTAAATTTATTGACATTTAGTGCGCTTATTATGAGATTTTGAAAGAACTAAATGTTAAATTAAATAAAATTTTTTATAAGTATAAAAAAGCGGCATTACTTATGGGTTCCCTTAACCCGGGAATAATCACCTTATTGTTTTTTTTTCTATGTAAACGATCACCTGGGGTTATTTAGACCCTAATTAAAAACCGTTATTATTAACCAAATACAGCATATTATCAATTGCTCTATGATTTATTATTATTCACGGATATTGCAAATATAGATTTACTAGCTATTTTTTGAAAAAAAAATGAAACCAAAAAAAATATTAAGAATCGGAATAAGCACATCAAGTGTCTCATTGTGACGGTATTTCCAATAAATGAAGATGTCAATTTAAAAAACGCTGTTTTATTGCCTTCCTTCGATGGAATGAGATATTTAAAGGTTCGTAAAGAATAATTATTGAAAAAGACTTGGAAATAACGTTAAGTAACATTTCGGGGGTTAATACTACATCGAATCTCGGAAATGTTCGTTACGCTGCCTGCGATTTCGGGGATCTAGGAAAATTTCAGGAGCGGAATTCACCTGTGACGGACAATACGACATCCTCGAGGACCAACAAGCGACAACTCACCGCGACGTTTCTCTCTCGTCGTTCTCGCTCTCGTCTATTCCCGTCGAATTTGCGTTACACGGGGGGTCCACGCGAATCACGTTAGGGTGGATAATCACGATTAGCTTCTCTCTTCTCGACGGGGGGGCTTTAATTGCGGCCAGTCACAAGCAGGGGCGAACTTTCGGCATAAACAGCGGCACATCGAATCGCGTTTCGCCGCCGCCGTCACCGCCGAGCTTCGCGGCGTCGCATCGCGCGCGGCGTCATACGGCGCGTCAACTCTGTCCGCAATAATTATCAAATTCGATGGAAAATATACAGGTGCGAAGTGGCGCGCGGCGAGCGAACGTCAGTCAGCGAGCGAGCGAGCGGGCGAGCAAGAGAGCAGAGGTGAAATTTACACGTTTCAATGTGACTGAAACTGTACCAGTTTCGCGCGCGACCGTGCGACGCGCGCGCGGACTGCGAGGCGAAGCGAGGATAATGTAGCTGAACATTCGCCGCTGCGTATTGTTAGGAAACGCTGTTTGTTGTAATGAATTCGCTGGCAGAGCGCGCGGTAATTAATTAGCACGGATCGGCCGGCCGCAGAGAGTTCAGTCTCAATTGGGTCGACGCATATTCTGGCAATATTCTGTTTACGTACGGCATATCGCATAATTGTTGTTGTAAGATATCTGCTTAGCGCCGAGTCGAGTTGTTCCCGAGCGAATTATAAAAGAACGAGCGAGAGAGAGAGAGAGAGAGAGAGAGAGGAAGGGAAGGAAGGATAGGGGCGTGTTACGTACAGTTGGCACTTTTAATTACGTTCTCCACGCGTCGCGCTCATTAGCACGCGTTTTTGCGCTTTAATGCTCGATTTAACTTGACTCAAATTCCGATCCACGTCCATTGATCGATGTGTTACCACGTTTGGCGTAAATAATGTTTTTCCCTCCCTTTCCTGTTCTTTTTTTTTCCTTTCGGATTTGTCTCCCCTCTAAATTTCTACGCAGAGAAAAGGGTTTCTTTCGATTTCATTTGTTTCACTTTACATATTTATTGTAACCAAATAATATCTGGTTAAAAGATATTACTTCAAATATAGGCGTTTTTTCCGTTAAATAATAGAGTTCTCTTGAATGAGACAATACAATTTTTACTCCAATAATATTTCATATATGTTGTTTCTATGAACAAATTTTAGTCAAATAAATAGAAATACTAAATCTAAAGAAACCTTTTTCTCTGTGTATTTGTTCCACGGATCGAAAGAATTCATTCCGTAAGAGTGAAAAGTCAATTCCAACTCGAGTGACTCAGCAGTCACTCCATTTTTCGAGTGGAACTTCACGACACGGAGAGAAAATATTCACTCCACGTCGCAGAGTGGGAGAATTCACTCCGTAAGGTCGAAAAATCCCTCCAATTCGAGTGTGTTACTTGGCTGTCGCTCCCTTTTTCGAATGAAGGTTTTATACTCCAAGGAATTTCGAGTATTGACACTCGCGCGAAGGGAGGGAAATTCTTACGAGCCGCGAATAATGACTCGCCACGCGATGGCGTAGTCGGTGGTTTCGGATTATGACTATCGCCACCGCTGTTCCCTTCAGTCTTGATTACTACTAGTTAGACGAACGTAACGATTTCGCCGCAAGTTGCCGAGTTAGTTCACCGCCGTGTCATCAAGAGAAAGAGAGAGAGAGAGAGAGAGAGAGATGGTCTATAAAACGTTTTCACGGCTTGTCAAATCGTTTATGAGGATTTTCAATCAGGGTGACATTTGTCGCAAATGATATTAATCAATAAGTATATGTATTTCGCTCGTTTATTATTAATCGATTCTCTTCGTAACAAACTTTAACATTTACATTTAATCTGCGAAAAAAATTTATATTTTAGATCATACTATTTATACAATCTACACACACACACATAGCCGTGTTACGTCAGCTTACATATTACATTAAATTAGGTTGATTTAATTAATTTTTTTTAATCTCCATTTCAGGGGAATCGCGCAATTAAATTCCGCGTCGATAATTTCGCCAGAGGGAACACGAGCGATATTTTTGCCAAAGTCGCCGTTTTTCTGGCTCATTCGTACGTACAATATTGTGCAATACTATTCCGGTCGCAGCCATTCTGAATTCTTAATCTTCCGTCGAATTATTCATCCGCGAAAACTTTGCTGCAATGGGATAGGTAAACGAAAAGGCGACGAGGAGGAGAGAGAGACAGGTATGACACTAATATTACATATTCATTTGCACGAAGGATATAAATCACGGGAATAGTGTTTTCCGATTAAGGACATAATTGAGCGTTTGCACGGAAAATTGTCTCGGGGAAGATGTTCGATCTTTCCGAACGAGCGGATGGAGCTGCGTATGCGAGATTCAGAAATTATATTTTTACTTACACTGCTATCGTTTATCTGAGCGTTGAGTGTAAGCCAACTCAGAGATAACTCAAATAACATCAATACGTTGACAGCTTCAGACAATTACGTTTGCAGTTTGAGGACGGACAATTTTTATTTCTCCTGCACACTTGCTGCTCATAAAGAGAACATGTTTAATTTCGTAATTCTCGCATCTGTGCAGCACGTGCGTGCGCATGAAAATTCAAAGTTGGGAGAGGAATAATTGGTGAAAAATAAAAAGTTCGATAAAAGATATAAAAATATA